ACGAGGAGGACGAGAGGAGGAAAGCTACGACGACGACGACAACGGCGAGAAGGAGAAGGAGGGGAAGGAAGGCAGATCCCTGCATGTGTGCGCGCTGTCGTGGCCGATCCCTATAGGCATCTGTTACTCGAGCTCTCCCTGCCTCTTCTGAAAGAATTTTTCGGACGGCGCCGGCGCAAAACGTGAACTTAACGCCCCCCCCCACCCGGTAACGGCCGCTTTCGAATATTTGTTTGACTATTTTTTTATATTTTTGGAATATTTATCATTTTTCGTCGAAAATCCCCCTGTAGGGGGACAGGCCTGACATAAGCCTATCAGGAGGGCTGGGGCGGCCCGAGGGGACGGCAGGAAGGAGCGCGTTGGAAGGGACGGCGGCTCCGCGCGCTGCAGACGGGAGGGGAGGACGTCGCCAAGGCGCAGAGGACGGGGCCAACTGCAGGCGCCCTCTGGAGGGGCGCAGAGATGGGCTTTGTCCACGACGCCCAGCTGCACGGTCTCCGGGCTGGCGCTGCCGCAGCGAGGGGGCGGCTCTCTCGCGGAGCTTCCGTCGGCCTACGCGCCTCCCTTCACACCGCACCGGGCCGCGGGCCGACCCTTTACGCATCCGCTCTGGCGACAGGATCGGCACCCGGGCCGCGGCCATTTGGGACGACCTGCTGGAGCGGCAGATCCTGCAGACCTTCTTGGCGAGGGCCCTGGGCGAGCTCGACGCGGCGAAGGCCCCTTGGCGAGCAGCCTCCTCGCCCGGGGACGTCGCGGTATTGACGCTGCGCCGCCTCCGCTGGCAGTGCGACGGCGGCGATCGCACGCGCACCGACGAGGGCGTCGCGTTGGAACTCGCCCGTCTGCCGCCCATGCAGGTCCGCCGCTTGGCCGAGCGCGCCGCCGTCAGGAAGTCCGTCAGGATGGCGCTCTCAACGACAGGCTCGGGGGCAGTGGCGTGGGGGCTGAGACGAGGAGCACCTGCCTTCCAGCCCCTCCCCGTTTTCTGAGAGGCACCGCACCGGACCTTGAGGTCTCCCTCCACGGGCTGGAGAAACATGATGGACCCACGAACCCGGAAAGGGATATAGACATGTGGAGCATGGACACGTTTTCACGATACCCAACTGGGCAACACCTCACGAAACATCCCACGAGACACTTCACGAAACATCCCACGAGACACCTCACGAAACATTCCACGAGACACCTCACGAAACATTCCACGAGACACCCCGCGAAACATTCCACGAGACACCCCACGAAACATTCCACGACGACAGGCAACCACTCAACCAAGGCGGTGTGGTCGTGCTGGGGAGTGGTCGTGCTGGGGGGTGGTCGTGCTGGGGGGTGGTCGTGCTGGGGGTGGTCGTGCTGGGGGGGTGGTCGTGCTGGGGGGTGGTCGTGCTGGGGCGTGGTCGTGCTGGGGCGTGGTCGTGCTGGGGCGTGGTCGTGCTGGGGTGTGGTCGTGCTGTGGTGAGGTCGTGCTGGGGTGTGGTCGTGCTGGGGTGTGGTGCTGGGGTGGGGTCGTGCTGGGGTGGGGTCCTGCTGGGGTGTGGTCGTGCTGGGGTGTGGTCGTGCTGGGGTGGGGTCGTGCTTGGGTGGGGTCGTGCTGGGGTGTGGTCGTTCTGGGGTGTGTCGTGCTGGGGTGTGGTCGTGCTAGGGTGGGGTCGTGCTGGGGTGGGGTCGTGCTGGGGTGTGGTCGTGCTGGGGTGTGGTCGTGCTGGGGTGTGGTCGTGCTGGGGCGTGGTCGTGCTGGGGTGGGGTCGTGCTGGGGTCGTGCTGGGGTGTGGTCGTGCTGGGGTGGTCCGCACCCTGTGATTTATCGATCGGGTCGTGCTGGGGTGTGGTCGTGCTGGTGCTGGGGTGTGGTCGTGCTGGGGTGTGGTCGTGCTGGGGTTTGGTCGTGCTGGGGTGTGGTCGTGCTGGGGTGTGGTCGTGCTGGGGCGTGGTCGTGCTGGGCGTGGTCGTGCTGGGGTGTGGTCATGCTGGGGGTGTGGTCGTGCTGAGGTGTCCCGCACCCTGTGATTTATCGATCGGGATTTCAAAAACAAGCGTTTCGCCTGAGACATCCTCAAAATTTAATCCGCCGGCCTCCTTCGACCTCGATATTTATCAGGGAAAGAATCCGCCGGCCTCCTTCAAGTTGGGCACCGGGGACATGTTTACATACTAAAAGAGAACCCTGGGCCCGCGCCCTTTCCGGGAAAAAACATCAACAACGCGCACTCCGGGCTGCCTTGTCCAACACTCTTTGGAGTCAGGCGCGTCCGGCAGGGCATGGGCTGGTGGGCCATGGCTGCTGCCTTCAGTGCGGCATGAAAGGCACCCTCTGGCACAGGTGTTACGAGTGCGACGCCTTGGTGGTCTTGCGCCAGGACCTCACGAGCCAGCGGCTGCAGGATGGCTCGCGCGCGCTGGGCCTGGGAGTGGAGCGAGGACGCGGGGGGACGCTTCGGAATCTTGCCCGGTCACGCCCCGATGTTCCCGCGCGCGGAGCCGCAGCAGCTCGTCCGCTGGGTCCGCGGCCCTGTGGATGGGCCACTCAAGGGGCGCCTCTTCACCGACGGTCCCCGGTTCCATGGCGAGTTCCCGCATGTAGCTCGCGTTGGATGGGCCAGAGGAGGAGGAGGAGGAGGAGGAGGAGGAGGAGGAGGAGGAGGTCAGTGGATTGGGACGGCAACCTCATTTCGGTAGCTCACGGGCCATTGCCGCTCTGGGCGTCGCAGGAGCAGGTGATCGGGGAGGCGGAGGATTACTGCATCTTCCTGCTGTGCGAGCTTGCGATGCCCCCCTTCTCCCTGCACTCTGATTGCCAGGATACGGTCGCCTGCACAGCTGCTGGCCCTGGCACGGGTTCGAGCTCCAGCGACTTACGACCACATTCGTGGGGGCGAGGTTCGGCGAAAATTCCAGGCCGACGACTTCAACGTCCACAAGGTGAAAGCGCACGCCACGGACTCGGACGTGGCAGCCTGGCGGATCTCGCCAGCGGACAGGAAGGCCAACCTGCGCGCCGACGCCCCCGCGAAGGAGGCTGCCGAGCTCCACGGCCTCAGCGAGGGCGACGTAACCCTGTGGTGCGGGCTCCACGTCATTGCGGAGGAGGCCGCGCGCTGGAGCGGCCAGGCGCACGCTGCAGCCGCGGATGCGCCGGCGCCCGACGCGGACCACTGAAGGGGCCCTCGGACACACAAATAAATAGATACAAATAAAACGATTCCCCATATTTTCCCGTATTTTCTGGGTTTTCGTCTTCCCCCCCCACTTCCCATATTTTCCCATATTTTCCTGGGAGTCGACGATTAACTGTGTCTGTGTGTTCCTTTCCCTCCAGGACCACAGCGTCCTGGAGGGGCCAGGTGGCCACGGCGCGGCGCGGCCCGTTGCGCTCGAGGCAGCGTCTGAGGCACCGCCCCCCTCTCGGGACCAAAACGCCGCGCACGAGCCTGCCGCCGCCGCTCTCTCGAGCTCGCAAATGGCCCCAGGACTGGAGCAGCTATGATAGCTTTAAGTCGGGCGTGTCCCCCTACAGAGGGACACGCCCGACGTAATGATAGCTGCGCCTGTCGGTTCGCAGGGCACCCGAGGGTCAAAACGACCGTCAAACAGGCGCCCGAACTAGGGGAGCAGAAAGAGACATAAACATAAAAACTCGGAGGTCCGCGCGGATGTCTCGGATCGGCGCTGGGCCCCCCTCCCTGGCGCGCGGAGCGCGCCAGGCGCGGCGCGCGGAGCGCGCCGCCAGGGGGGCCCCGGCGCCGATCCGAAAAATCCGCGCGGACCTCCGAGCTTTTATGTTTATGCCACTTTCTGTTCCCCTAGTGATGGGCTTCAACGACGCCCAACTGCCCATGACTGGAGCAGTTCTGATAGCTGCGCCTGTCGGTTCGCAGGGCACCCGAGGGTCAAAAACGACCGCCAAACAAGCGCCCGAACGCACGCATTTCCTTTGCTTCAAGCTGTGGCGGGCGCCTCCCGAAGCGCACAGCCCAGGGGCAGGCCTGCGGGGGCCGTGCTCTGGGGAGCGCGCGCTGGCCACACGGAGCTCGGGAGCAGCTCCGGCGGGCGACCGAGCGAGAATATGCCCCCACTGCACAGGGCAGTTTTTAACACATGGGATTTTTACAATATATGATTTTTCATACATGATCACTTTAGGGATAGATTAATGCATGAACTCCTCGTTGTTTCAATCCTAAATCCCTGCATCTTTAATCCATGATCCGCACGCGGAGCATGCATTAGAAACAGCACTGTGCGGCCAACCGCGAAAACACTGGACGCTCGAGGTGCCCACCGCGCCCCCGCGCGAAGACGGCATCCGTCCTACGGCGCCTCTGGGAGACCAGAGGTGACGAACGAACAACACACACCCATACCCATACGGGGGTCGTTGGGAGGAGGACTGGCTGTGGGTATGGGTGCGGGCTGTCGGACCCTGGGGAACGCTCCCGTTCGAGCGGGGACCCCCATCCGACAACACGCACCCATAGCCCCTTCCGACCCCCCTATGGGTACGGGTGTGTGTTGTTGGTTTGTCACAGAGGCAAGCTGGCAACCGGATCGCCCGCGGGGCCGCGGAGGCAGATGCTGCCTCCGCGGCCGCGGGGGCGCCACCTCTCCCGTGCCGACCGCCTGCTCGAGACTGCATTCTCTATCTTGTTTCGAGCTTCGTCGGGAGGACGAAAAGGCTGGGCTGCTGCGCTTGGGGCGCGGCCCGGCGCGTGGAGGGGGATTCCTCCGCCGTCGGGTGCAGAATCCGTGGATTCAGGCTCTGCAGAGGAAGCTTTCTGAGGAGCTTTTGCCTTCTGGCCGTGGACGGCCCCGCCGAGGCGCACTCTCACTCAGGCCCTCCATCTTCCCTCCCTCTCTCCCTCTCTCCCTCCCTCCGTCCTCCTCCTTCTCCTCTTCATCCTCCCTCCCTCCCCCCCTCCCTCCTCCCTCTTCCCTCCGCCCTCCTCGTTCCTCCCTCCTCCTTCATCCTCCCTCCCTCCGCCGTTCCCTCTCTTTTCCCCGCGCCGCTCGCCAACGCCCAGGGCCGCGCCCGGCCCGGCAGGATGAAAAAGAAACACACGCCGCGGGGAGCTGCCCCAACCGCGCAGTCGGCGGAGGCAAGATGGATGGATTCGCCAGGCAGCCTCGTCGTACACATGCACACAAAGAACATCTACACACGGTCATCCGCCGACAAGTTCTCCCTGTACCCTCAGAGAGGGTGGCGGTGTACAAATTCGCTGGCTCCCAGTGGTGATTTACACATCGTCCCCCCCCTCTGACGCCTGGCAACAATCCACTGAATGACGTCGGTCTGCGTAAATGTACATATATATATACAAGATTTGATGGCGCGCTTCGCTTCGCCTCCATTCTGGAGAGCGTTTCTTCATGTTCGGCGATGACGGGCGTCATGGGGGGGGGAGCGGGGGGGGGGTGGGGGGGGTATGACGTAACGCCCCCCCCCCGCCGTGTGGCTCCGGCACCACAGTCGCGCCCGCGCGCACGACGCGACAAGCGACAAGCGACAAGCGACGACGACGACGACGACGACGACGGCGACGACGACGACGACGCGAGCAGCATGTAGGTGGCGATCTGCCCCACTGCGCCTGTGTACACCACAACGCTCGCGTGCACCGCAGCGCGCGTGTACACCACAGCGCCTGCGTACATCGCAACAACCGTGAGCTCTTCGGAGCCTGTGGTAATGGCCTTTTGCGTTAAGGTTAGCTCTTGGGAGCCTTTGTGCGAAGAGCGTCTTGTGGCACTGTTCGCTCTTTGGGGCCTTCGCGTTCGAAACTTGTTACGTCAGCGGGTCGCCAAAAAAGTGTTTGTCACTCCCCTGGAGCTCTTGGAAGCCTTGGCGTCAAAGTCTTGTCTATCCCTGGGCCGTCTGGAGGCGGAAGCTTTGGCGTCAAAGCTGAGTCTTTCACTGGGCCGTCTTGGAGCCCTGTGGAGGCTTATTGAATGGCTCTTCGAAGCATGTTAGGAGCCTCTTGTGGGTCTCTTGGAAACTTTATGGGCTGCCTTAAGGGCCTCTTGAAGGCCTCCCGGGCGTCTTGGGGGCTTATTGGGCATCTTGGGCCTCTTTGGGCGTCTTGGGGCCCTCGTGGACCGTCTTGGGCTCTTCGGGGGCCGTCCTGGAAGCCTCCTGCGACATCCACAACCAAGGCACGGTGGCGGCATGGGGCGAAGGCCATTGCATATATATATACACACACATTCGTATATACACATGCATATGCATACATGCGTGCATACATATGAATGCAGACACACACATATAGGTATGAATATATACGTGTATGCATGTGTGTAATGTGTGTATACAAACCTACACATGTAGATGCATCCATATGTATACACGTACATGCATACATAATAATAGATGTATACATCCACACAAAAATACATACATACATGCATCCATCCATCCACCAATCCATCCAGACATCCATGCATTCATACATACGTAGATACAGACATCGATACACAGACATGCAGACATACATACCTACATACATACATACAGACATGCATGCATGCATCCACGCAGACATACATGCATAAAGACACACATACATACATACATACATACATACATACATACATACATGCATACAGACAGACAGACAGACAGACAGACAGACAGACAGGCAGGCAGACAGACAGACATACACACGTACGTACGTACATACATACATACATACATACATGCATACAGACACACATACATGCATACATCCATCCATGCATCCGTCCGTCCATCAATGCGTCCATCCATTCATACATACATGCATGCATGAATGTATACATACATACATACATACATACATACATACATACATACATACATACATACATACATACATACATACATACACACAGACATACAGACAGACAGGCATACATACATACTCACATACTCGCATACATGCTTACATACATGCATACACACATCGATGGCAAGAACCCGTGGCTGCGTGGGATGCTCCTCCCTGGCGCCCCTGCTGCAACCGCCGAGGCTGCCGCAGCGGCCGCAGGCCCCAGCCTCGGCCCTCAGTCGGCCGGCGGCTCCTGCGGCGGCGGCAGGCTGCGGGCTGCGGCCGCCGCGGGCAGCGCCCGCGGAGCGCCCTCCGCCGCCTCCCTGGGCGCCACCTCCCGACCAGCGGCGGCGGAGGACCACGGCGCCGCCAGCTCCACCTGAGCGGCGGATGAGAAAGAGGGTCGTGCGACGAGCCAGGGGGGGGAATCCTCCTCCTCCTTCTCCTCCTCCTCCTCCTCCTCCTCCTCCTCCTCCGCCTTCCCCTCCCTCCCCCTCCTCCTCCTCCTGCTCCTCCTCCTCCTCCTCCTCCGCCTCCTCCTCCCCCTCCTCCTTCTCCTCTGCCTCCCCCTCCCCCTCCTCCCCCTCCTCCTCTTTGAGGATGCTGCTGATGACTTGAAGGTTCCTTTTCCTGGTCAAGTTTACGCAGACGATTCCCTGTTTGCGTTCCTGGCTTCTTTGGAAGACTGTGAGCGGCACCTCGAAGATTGTTGTAGGATTGTACTCAACTCGTTTGCTCCTGCAGGTCTTGTTCCCCACCTGAAGGTGGGCAAAACTGAGATTACGCTGCATCTTCTTGGTCCTGGATCTGCTACGTGTCGGCGACATGTTTTTCACACACTGGGTGCTCGCTTGCCTGTGCGCATGCTCATATGTGGTGGCACTTACATGCACGTTGTGCGCAGGTTAGTATATATCGGTGCTGTGCTTACGGACAGGGCAGTGCTTGGCCCTGAGCTTGTGCATAGAGCAGAGAGAGGAAGAGGCACGTGTTTCGCTTACTCACTTGAGCAGGGCGTTTAGAAGAGCATCTAGTAATGCATGCTTGCCCAAACTGGTCTTTACATATTCGCTAGTACTGAACTCAGCGCTGCATGGAGCAGGTACTTGGTATGATCTATATGACAATGACATTGTTACTCTTAGAACTGCTTACGCGAAAAGGTATAGAAGGATATTACGTCATCCTAGGTTTGAAGCACACGGACCTACGGATGAAAAAGTCATGGCTATTGCTGCTCGCCCTTCTATAACAATAGTTCTTCGAATATTTCGTCTACGTTTGTTTGGTCAAGTGTTGAGTTCGGCCCCTGGCCCGCTATTGGCATTACTGCACTCAGAATACAAACAAGCACTTGGCACTAAAAGGAAGTCTTGGTTACATCATGTTCAGGATGATCTGCTGTGGTTGAGGGCTAGCCACCACTCCCTTGTTTCCTTTTCCCACCCCAGTTGCGGACCCTTAGATGTGGGTGAATAAGGTAAAGTCATCACCGCAGGCATGGGAGTGCGTCGAAAAGGCCAGAAGGGATGTGGATGGAGCTCGATGGCAAAAAAAGGTGTTGTCGAATGTGCAGAGAGCGGGCCTTCCACCGGCCCGAGATGTTCAGGACGACCCGCAAGTTCCAGAAATGAGGTGCCCATTTTGTGAGTTTAAAGCCCTATCCGTCCCGTCATTGGATGCACACGTTCGTTCTTTACACGTTACGGTGACAGGGCTGGCGAGACGGCACGTGTCTGGACCGACATGTGCCGCTTGCCGCCGCACCTTCTCCTCGAGGTCTCTTCCTCTCAGACATGTCACCTCGTGGAGACCTTCTTGTTTGGTTGCTTACTTGATATACGTTACCTGTTGTTTCAAGTGAAGAACACAAAAAGGTGGGCTCTGGAGGAGCATCAAGTCAACCAGCAGGCACGTAGGAGGGGGTACTCCACCCCACATGCAAATGTGTCGTCACGTGTGCTTCCAGGTCCCATCGATCCAGTCGCTCGGATGGTGCAGGACATGTACACAAGTGAGCAGGCTCAGTTATATATATACAGAACACACTCCAGCATGTCACAGGTTGGTCTAGGCAGTGGCTCCAGCAAGTCGAGGTAGGACAACCAGCTCCTGGATCCGTCCGTGGTCTTTTCTTGGGTTGGCCTGTCGAGCGTGAGGCCTACACTGGATCCCTTGCAGACCCCATTCCACGTACATTGCAGCGTAGGACGATGTGTATTGGTAGTATCCTTTGCGGACAGCGGCGCCAGGGTGGCATCCAGGCTGCTGTTGAGATAAGCATAGAAACGATTATTCCTACTGTAGAGCTCCGAGTTTTGCTTGCTTATATCACCATAGACAAAAAGGCAGGCGACCTTAGCAAGCCAGCCGCAGTTGGTCTATGGAGTGAGCACATCAGGGCAGGTAGAGTTGCTGCAATAGGAGGGGGACCTCCGTGCGAAATTTTCTCGGCAGCACGTTGGAAGGACGGAGGCCCCCCTCCGCTGCGTTCCTGGGCTGCTCCATGGGGCATAGAGGTCATCACCCCTAGACAGCGGCTTCAGGTTCAGATTGCGAATGTTCTATTCACGTCACACATCGAGCTGCTCTCAGTACGTGCTGAGGTAGGAGGATGAGGATGGGGAGAGCATCCTGCTTCTCCCACTTGGGAACCTAGGGCTGTTCCTTCGTGGAGCTTTAGGCCTGTCAAAGCTCTCGCCAGTGCCCCGTGTCCCTCATATACCGAGCTTGACCCGTGCGAGATTTGACATTTAGCGGGCAGGGCACCCACAGGTATCCTTGCTATACGCCTAGGGTCATTGCATGACATGCTGCTAAACACTCCTGGAGGGGGCAAGTGTAGCCACGGACCCAGAGCTCACAATGCTTTGCTCGAATGGGATCCTGACAGGAAGATTTTCGGAACGGCTCCCAAGAAGGTCTATCCTGAGGCGATGTGCAAAGTCTTAGGTCAGGAGCTTTTGGATGCAGTGCTACCTTCTGTAGAGAGCTGTGATCAGGATTCCGACCACTCAGAGATTCTGGCTCTTCGTAGGTTGTTTGTTGAGTCGGTTAGGGGTCCCTCGGAAGGTCCTGAGATGGGTCCTGATTTCGCCGTGGCAGGATCGACTAGAGGAGAGTTGGCCATTGAACGCATTAGGAAGGCTCTCGACCTGACCACAGGTGACGAGCCGTCCAATGAGGATCAGGAGTTGGACGACTCTCATTCGATTGCCATCCTCTCTGCTGTGGAGGCTCGGCCGAGTTTGCTGTCCTAGGTCAGACGAGATGAGTCCACCTCGCCTGTTGTACCTCCCCCTAGACCTCCACCCTGTCGCTCGCAGTCAGTGCTCGATAGAATAGCAGCTAATCGAGCAGAAGCTCCCAGACGAAGAAGAGCTCGAGAGTCTGATGCAAGACAGCTCCCTATTTCTTCCATCAACATGTTCGGTGAGCGTCCTGGCGACACTAGTTCGACGAGCAGAGATTTAGTCCAGGCTGATTTGCATCAATGGTTTCGAGCTGCTACACGCACTTGACATGAGGAGGTGGGGGGTGGAGTATGTATCTATGGGTGGTTATTTAGATGTGTGGTGTTGTCTTGTATTCCGCACAAGTTTGCCTTGCTAGGCTTGTGCAGCACGGATCGCGTCTGTGCGCCGTCGAGCAGGCATTTCTGACACGTCTTGTTTTTTGTCTTGCTACGTGAATGAGGGCAGGCAGTAGCAGCAGCAGCAGCAGCAGCATGCTTGTGCTTCATGTCTTGCTCTCTCTTCCCGTGCCATCCGTCCCGATGGGCGGGTCGGGAACACCAGCTTCGGCGAGGCGCGCCGCACCCGCCTGCCGCCGCCGCCTACATCAGGAGGAAGGTTGAGGTTGGATGGGGGTGTTGATTGCATGATTGGGAGGTGGTGTGTTCTCTGGGCGACCAGTGCCCTATGCAGGTGCGTCCCGGTCTTCACAAGTCGAGTTCTTACCCTCCGAGGGCCCCTCAAGATGGGCTCGTCGATCTTTCGGCCTGCATCGAGCAGGCCTGTGGCCTGCTGAAGCGCAGTTGGCTTCGCCACGCCCCCGGCAGTGGCTGACTGCAGCCCTTTCGCGGCCATCCGATCCGCTCCGATCCTCCCCTCCTCCTCCTCCTCCTCCTCCTCCTCCTCCTCCTCCTCCTCCTCCTCACCCTCCTCCTCTTCCTTCTTTTCCTCCTCCTCGTCCTCCTCCTCCTTTCCTCCTCCTCCTCCTCCCTCCTCCTCCCTCCTCCTCCTCCTCCTCCTCCCTCTCCTCCTCTCCTCCTCCTCTCCTCCTCCTCCTCCTCCTCCTCCTCCTCCTCCTCACCCTCCTCTTCCTTCTTTTCCTCCTCCTCCTCTTCCTTCTTTTCCTCCTCCTCCTCCTCCTCCTCCTCCGAGCAGCACCCTTACGCGGTGGCCGACGCGGACCGCCACGGCGGCAAGCGGCACTTGAAGCGAGGGCGCCTGCGCGCGACCTTCTACGCGGGCAGCCTGCGCGCCAGTGTCGGCGCAGACGGCCCCATCTCAGCGGGCGAAGAACGGTATGACATAAACTTTTCCGCCGTCGGGGACGCCTGCCCCTTGGCGGCTGGAAAATTTATACCCCTACGGCGCCACCGTAAGGGTATAAACTTTCCAGCCGCCCTGGGACAGGCGCCCCCGACAGCGAAAAAGTTTATTTTACACCGTTCTTCGCCCGTTAACCATCTTTTTGCGTCGCGCACCTGTTTGCCAGGACCCCAAATCTTGGACGGATCATGCCGGCCAGCGCGGGCGCCAAACACTGGGCCGGCCACTACACTGCCGATGTGCACTCCAGGCGGCGCCATATGCAGCATGCAGTCAAGCCGATGGAAGCTTATACGATGCACTCTACATTCTCTAACCTACGTGGTGCAAGCTGTGGTGGAAACAATAGGGTGCAACCTGTGGGGCGGAAACTAGTGGATGCAACATACGCGTTGCAGTTAATCTGTGTTCACTAATGCGTTGTCAACTCCACTGCTCGCGCGATCATTCCACCCTCCCGCCCGCAACTTGTTTGCACAACCCATGCGGCCGCGATTACGGTGACTGTTTGGCCCTGGCTGGCGCATCTCTGCGGCCGCGCTGGCGCGCGCAAGCTCGCGCGCAGCGCGGCCAGCGGGTTTGGCACAACCGATGCGACAGCGATGGCGCTTGCCGACGGCAGCTTCCCAGCGCGTTTCAAAGGCCGCGCCGGCGCGCAGGCAGTTGAACGCGGGCCAGTGACTCAAGCGGGCGCGGTATCATAATGACGTCGACAACGACGGCAGTGATGCTGCTAGGGGCGATATTGGTGGCGATGGCGACCATGACGACGGCGAGGCCAATGACGGCGCCGATGCTGTCAACGACGATGACGATGATGATT